CACGAGGACGTAGAGGAACGAGAGCCACCAGCCAAAGAGCAGCAGGTAGAGGACATTCCCACAAGTCACTGTGGACCCTGCAGGAGAGGAGGCACCAGATGGGACCATTGTCACCTTCACCATCCCAAATCCAAGGTGCCACTGCACAAGGTATCCCCAAGACCACTCACCCCCAGAGCCCCGGATGACATTGAGGTCAGAGTAGAGCTCCTTGACAATCTCAGATCGGTCCTCCCAGGGCCGCGCTGTCACATGGCTCTTCCATTTCTTGAATCCAAACTGCAGAGTTGTGGTTTTTTTTGAGGAAGGAGAAAAAGAAAACCCATTACAGCCACCCAGGAGCACCCATGGGTACCCCCACCCATGCCGTGGGCACCCACCTTGTAATTGTTGGAGAGCTTGTTGGCCTCCACAACATTTTCAGCCGTCAGAGTGGTTTTCACCACGCAGCTCTCGCAGACCTCTTCCGAGTGCTGCTGGCAGCACAGCGGGGGGGACATGGCTGCAGGCAAGATGGGGGGGTGACAGGAGGTGTAGGACCCCCACCCCTCTCCCCAAGCCCCATACCCAGCCCATCCCATGGCCAACCTACCTGGGGGGACGCGGGGACGGTGCAGGTGACAGCCCAGGTCACCCAAGTCACCGTGCACGTTGTTGATGGCGGCGCAGTGCCGGTCGCAGAGGGAACCCCGGCGGGGGCCATCGCTGTCACCCCGGGGCTCGGTGGCCTTGGGGACATCTGGAGGGGGGTGGGGGGAAGTTGGAGTTGCACTGGGGCCACATCCTACGTGGGTGCGGTTCCTCAGGACACCCTCGTGCTGCTGCACTGGGATGTCACCCTGGTCCCTAAACCCCACGGGGGACACGCAGAGCTCGCAGGGTGGTACCCAGGTGATGCTCAGGAGGGAGGACCCCACCGGTACCTGGGATGAGGGGTGGCGGGGACACCCCAATACCGTGTGTAATGCTCAGGTAGGGGGACCCCCGGATGGGGGACACCCCCCCACAGTGCCCAGTGTGACGCTCGGGGTGGGGGG